TTTCACTTAGTTTGTAGTAGACATTTGGCTTCCTCTCTTGGCTTGCCCTGCACTGTCCTTTGCTCTGGGACACCGAGGGGTGGGCAGAGGCAACAAGGGGGAACTTCTGCTCGCCTTGCCCGCCCTTGTGTTCAAACCTCCACTCTTCTGAAACTCCAAAAACACCACTAAAATCCAAAAAACACCACCCCCCCCCCCCAAACTGTTGCAAAACATGGTGTTACGAGCTGCTGCTGCTGCTGCTGGAATGTTTGAACTCCCAGGCGAGCCAGGCAGAGCAGCTGCTATCGCTGTGGATTATACCTTTCCTCTCAACTTCAGCCTTCATTTCCTTTACCCTCCTTCCTGGGAGGAACAGCTGTGCTTTTGGATCCTCTGCTGCTCTTGGAGCGGGGCTTGGAGCTGCAGGAAATCAGTGACTTTAGAAATCTGGCGCCGTGGCCTTTTCTTCCTGAGCGTGACAGAGGGAGAGCAGTGAGGGCTCTTCTCTCTTTATCTGGGGTTTGAAGGATTATTGCCCCCATTTCAGGGCGTTTTCTGGAGTGAAGATGAACTATTACATACAATAATATATCTATATTACATATATGTAATATGCACCTGCTTGGGTGAAAGGGAAAGTGCTGCTGTTGTTACATCTCCCAACGTTAATTTTCCGTGTCTTTAAAAGTTAAGATAAAAACCTCAAGTTGTAAATCCACCCCTTTATTCAACCATGTGCGTGGGAATTTTGATCAGTAGAACGTAAATAATGGAAGTATTTTTAATCATTGGCAGTAAATGGTCAAAACCATGATAAAACTGTAAAAACTTCTCGGCTGTCAAAGCATTATATAGATTAAAAAGTCAGGCATTCCAAAAGCCTTCATTCATCTCCTCTCTGCGAGCAGCAGGATATCTTTAATTAATTTATCACATATTCCCCCCATCCTCCAGTGAGACCCAGCCTCATTCAACACAGACATAAATGATGGGCAGGCTCTGGAATATCTTCATTTTTCCCTGTTTTCCCTGGATTGAAACTGGGGCCAGCACTGAGATTTTCTTCTCCTTTGGCTTACTGGGATTCTCTCTTATTGATTTGTGATTCCGTCCTCGCTCAATTAAATAAATGCAGGCGGTTTTCGTGGTGGTTTAATGCAGGAGCAGTTACTTTAATGTATATTAATTTTAGGAGTTGCTGGAGCAGCGAGTGCTGAGTGTTTGGTGAACTTTTGGAATATTAACAGAGAAGGGTTCATCTGAGGGGAGGGAGGAGCCAAACTCCTGGTTGTCAGAGTTGTTAATCGTTGGGCAGTTTTTGGCAACGTGAAGAATTATTTTAATTGACAGCTGAGGGGTTAATGAGGTGATGTAGTGGCTGCACTGCCACTCAATCAAAATGCAGTCATTAAGTTGATGTGAAGGTCTCTCTTTTTAATTTTTTTTTTTAAGGCTCTATTTGCCTTTTTTTCTCAGCATGAGGATGGTGAATGGGGAGAAATGTCCCTGTGAAGAGAATAATTCCAGGGGGATTCCACCAGGAACTGCCTGGTCTCGAGGGTTGGTTTGACCTGGTGTTTGATTTCACCTCGGAGGAGGAATCCAGGCGAGGGGTTTGGGGAGGCCTGGGAAGCTTCTCTTTGGTGTCACATCAAAAATTTGGGTTCTGAGCTCAATCCCAGCCCGTTTAGGAGCTCCAGGCAGCTGAATCTTCCTGCCTGGGCCAGCTCCTGCCCTGGGGGTGCTCTGGGGGAACCTCCCCGAGGAACTCCAGGCGTGTCCAAGAGGGGCACTTTGAACTGATTAGAACAACGGGATTTACCTTTAATGCAGCCTCTGAAACTTCCAGTTAATCCTTTAAACGGAATTTAATTCCCAATTAAGCTCGAATAATACTTTTCTAATTTTAATCTGCGCTGGTTTTGCTGCTTGTCAGGCCGGGGGGTGCTGAAGAGAGAGGGGCTTTTGGGCAGGGAAAAGGTAAAATCTGTGAGCAGAGCTCGGGATGGAAACTGCAAGGCAGCAAAAGAACCCTTATCACTGAAATCTGGCTTCCTGTAGTCACCAGATATCTGGGGCTCCATCAAACGGACACTCCACCCTGTCATTATGGTGGTGGGAATCCAATTTTCACCTCTTGAAAGAGGCATTTGAAAGGAGGCATTTGCAGTGGGTTGGGAGTGACTTGCAGTGTTCCTTCCACCTGAGCTCTGTCCACGAGTCTGTAAATTGGCCCAGAATCCTTCAGTGAAGAATTTCCACAAGTTGAAGCGTTGAGGTTTTTAATAAATCCTTCCTTTGCTTCCCATCTGCCTGTTTTGGGCACTTAGAAAGTCCGTAGGAAAACTGCATTTGTGTTTCTGATTTTTTTTTATTTTTATTTTTTAAATTATATAACTTGAATCTTTCCCTACAAACACATCTGTGTGTCCAGCAAACCTTAACCCAAAGGGAAAAATTGAGGTAGTTACATAAAATCTCGCATAAAGGATTTGGTTTTTAATGTTTAAATTGGATTTTAAAGGGAAAAAAAAAAAAACAAATGAGGATTTTGAGTAAGAGAAATGCTGGTGGAGGGAGAATTACGGATCTCGTCGTTTGGGAAACATTTTTCCTGAACAAGAAAGCCAAGCAAGAAATGAAGTGGTTTAACAAGCAAAAGCTGTTTCCTTACCAAAAGCTTTCTTGGGAAAGAACTGGAATATTTAGCAATATTTTCAGCTGTCAAGGAGCTGTTTTCTTGGCCACCTGGTACAGAAATGGCAGAGCTGCAATGCAGAGTCACCGAGTTCTCAGGGCCCAAGAAATTAATAAACCTGGAGAACACCAAGTGATTCCTGAGTCACCCTCCACTGTCTAAACCCACCCAGAACCCCAGTTGCACTGACTGAATCCAACCCCAGGAGGTGACAGCAGAGCCACCCCGAGGCTCCTGAACATTTGGAGTGGGGTCGGAATTTTTCTGTTCAGAAAAGGCTTTTTTTGTGTTGATTCCTTTGAAAATCAACCCCCCCCTCTCAAAACCCTCCTCCCCACCCCCCCCAGGTGTCCCACTGGAGTGACAGGAAGGGTTTGTAACATTTCAAAATGCTTTTTTTTTCTTTTTTTCCCCCAAAAAAGCTGCCCAGAAGTTTCAAAGGCTCAGGACACCCCGCTCGTGCTTGATCTGCCCAGATTGCAGGTGGCAGCTGTTGATGGGCTCCAATAAACGGCCCAGCCTGGGGGCCAGGGGAGCAGACACAGCCCCCCACCCATCCCGGTGTGCTGATGGATGAGAGCAACAAGCAGCAATCGGCTCTCCTGGTTTGGCACTGCGGTGTTTATTGCTGGATCTGCTGGGGCAGCGGGGCCGTTCCCCGGGCTCCTGTGGGTTCCCCAGCCCTCCTGTTCCCTCCTTTCCACGCTGAAATGCAGCAGAAAGACAAATGGTCCCGACCTCCCCTGTCCTGTGGGTGCTTTGAGGTGGGTACAGACCGAGGGGGAAGCCAAAATATTAAAAAAAAATATTAAAAATAATCAACCCCCCACCCTCCTCCTCCTCCCCGGGTGCCTTTCGGGGCTGCTTGAAAGGAAACCAACACCTGTTGAAACAGTTACTTCAACGTTTGGCCCCAATCCCAAACGAGCCTCTTTTTTTTTTTTAATTATTTTTTAGATCTATATTTTTTTCTTTTTTAACAACGAAAACATATGTAGGGGCCAAGGAAAAAGCACAGCTAGTTCTGATGTTGTGCTTTTTGTGCTCTGCAGCTCCGAGCTGGAGGGGCTGTGACTCATTAAGCGAGGCCAGCGCCGTGTTTCTCTTCCTTTCACGTCTTGCTGGGCTTGGATTTCCGTGGCAAATTTACACACTTAGAGCAGGGGAGGGAGGGGGAGCAGCTTTTCCTGCTCCTGAGGTGGGATGTTCCTCTGGGATGAGCTGTTTGGTGCTTCACACTGGGAATATCTTCTAGGAGTTGGGGCTGAGGGAAGGGAAAACCCCCATCAGCCGCTTAGTGCCACTTGGGCGAAGAGCTGAGGGGCTTGGAGAGCTCCTGGTCCAAGGACACGACCTTGGAAGGCTTTTCCAGCCTGTGATTCTGTGGTCCATGGAGAGGCTTCATCCCCACGAGTCATCTCGTAAGTTGGGGGTCAGTCCCTCAGCTGGAGCAGAGATTTGAACCGCCTGTGTAGCTGGAAATTGGTGGCTTCCAGGGAAAATTCTGGGAATAAAAGGGGAGTTGAGTTTTCTAGGGAGAGCTTTAACATCAGAGAAATGTGTGTGCTCAGGGTGATCTGGGTTTCTCCTCCTCTCTTCAGGCACTGTTTCAGTCTAACATTCCTCCCTGGGAGGGTTCAGGTGATGGCAAATCCTGCTTGGCCAGTGCAAAATAAAACTTTGGTGTGTTAAATCCGAGGTGCTGAGTGGCCACATCACGGACCCCAGTGAGGATTTAGTTCAAATGTTGGTGCTACTGAACAAAAAATATTGAGAGATAAGAGACCAATCATGATGAATCAGAAGTCACGGGTTCCACTGAGGAGTTTTTAGCCTTTCTGAAGGAAGTGACAATGAAAGTAAGGTGGTGTTTGAGTAGAAGAGAACCAGTGTTCTCTCTTGCACACTTCTTAGCACACCAGAATTGTCTACAGCCATGGGCAAATATCCTGGAATGTTTTCAGGGGAGAGGTGTCACTCAGGACTTGGATACCTGTAACTCAGTGAAACTTTGCAGACCATCACCCTCACTTCCATGTTCCCCTGTGCAGTGAGGAACTCTTGGTGGTTTGTTTGTCCTTTGGGGGTTTCTTTGAAAGCCTCTCTGCCTTTTCTCTGCAGATCCTGTCTCTGCCCTTTCTCCAGGGCTCTTCCTGGTGCAACAAAGCAGAGCAGAGTGGAGGAGGTTTGACATTCCCTGGGATTCACAGTTGGATTCGTGCTGTCTGTAGATGGTTTCTCAGCCATCCCAGCCGTGGTGTGGGGTTGTGACAGTTTAAACAGTTCCAATCATCTTTTCCCTCCTCCTTTTCTCTTTCAGCTACAGCTGCAGAAAACCCAGTACTTGCAACTGGGGCAGAGTCGTGGCCAGTACTACGGTGGGTCTCTGCCAAATGTGAATCAGATTGGAAACAGTGCCATGGATCTCCCCTTCCAGGTGAGCCCCGAGGGATGGGGGTGTTTTTGTTCAGTACCAAATCCCTGCTGAAATCTGGGAAGAAGCTGTAAATTCAAAGCAGAGTGGAAGCCAATCCAGGGGATGTGGAACCAGCTGGGAGATGGGGTGTGGAGGGAGCTGCTGGTGGTTGTGTGTGTGTGTTCTGTGGGGTGATCCTGGGAGAGGAGAAGGGGAATGGGACACAGAGTGGTACCAGAACAGTCACTTTTTTGGGGGCTGATTGAGGAGGAAACTTAGGGATGCCCTGGCTGTCTTTGTGACTCCAGAGGGGACACACCACAAACAGAGAATCAGCGTTCTGGGTGAATGTTTTGCTGTTTGAAGCACGTCTGGACAGGAGATGTTGTGCATGGATCCTTTTGAGGCCTCTGATTTCTATAACTAGTTGCTTTGGGGTGCTCAAAAAAAATAATTAACATTTCTGCATTAGTTTTCCTTTTTTTGAGCAGTATCAGTTACACTTCTGTCACGAGGATGTGGTGAGAAGGAAATCTTGCAGTTTGTGGTTTGCTGATGAAAGGCTGGTTAATAAGCATGGAGAAACTCTTGCTGACCTGCCTGTTGAAATAGGTGGAGGACATAGCTGAATTTGGGCAGGTTGAAAGCCTGAACCTCGTGCAGGAGGAGAAGCAAAAGCCTCTTTTAATCTGGTTGCCCTCAGGGAATGCAGTGCAGGGGTTTGGAGTGGATTGATGTCCTTGGTGTTACTCCAAAGCATCTCTCTCCAAGATTTTCCCTTCAGCTCCTTGCTAAGGAGGTTCAGAGTTCCTGTTCCCTTTAAGCACCAGTATTTCAGTATTTCTGTGCTTTCCTGGTGGTTACTGCACAGACTGTTTTACTCCTGAACTAACAAAGGGAATATCCCAAAACTCCAAAGTTTTACAGGTTGTTTTTTTTTTTTCACACACCCCCATAGAAAAAAAAAAGCCCAAAAATGGATGTTGTCACAGCTAACAAAGGTGAGAAGCAGCAACACAAACCCGTGTGTCTGTGTGAGTGGCGAGTGCTTCCCGGGCTTTTCCCGATTTCCACCTAAAACCCCGGAGTTTTTTTTAAAGTTAAAACACACCGAGGATTCCGAGGCGAAGCCCTGAGTGGTTTGTTGTGTCTGCTGGGAGCGTTGGTGTCTGAGCATCTCGGTTCTTTGATTTACAGCACAACGGAGCTCTGGCTGAAGCCTTTGGAGCAGTTCCTGTCTCTTTGGTAAACAAGCATTTAGGTTTGTGCAAATACGTATTTAGGACTGGTCCTGTTTGCCCAGGTAGATACGTATTTCAGCACAGCCCCACTGCTCTGCTATGCACAGTGTCCCTCTCTCTCTGATCAGGAGCCCTGCTCTGGCACACAAATCCAGGTGTTTTGTTTATTTTTTGGCCGTGCATCCCAGTTCGGAACGTGCATCAGAATTCCCGTCCAGGCTCCCTGGACTTACTGTCTTGTGGTGATTCCTGGGGGATGCACTTGATGCAGGCAGCCTTGGCCTGTGGGTTGAGCGAGCTCTGAGCATGTGCATGTTGAACTCCGTGGGGAATGAGTTCCCAAATCCTGCTTGGCACCAGGAGGCTCTGGAATCTCAACTGTCGTAGGTCCCACTCCTCCTTCCCCCCCCTCGTCCACCTCGCTTGGGTTTATTCCTGAAGCCTTGATCCATCTCAAAGGGACACTGGTGGAGAGCTCGGAGCTTTTTCCTTCCTGTCTGTATTTAGCTGCTTTTTTTGGTGGTTTGTGGGCTTTGGGGTCTGGTCTCGAACCCTTAAATGTTTCTCAGGGAAGTGAAGCACTTCTGCTTCTTCATTTTCCCAGTAAAATCAATGCTCAGTCTGATTTTGTTTTTGTTTTTTAATCCACTTTTTTAATTACAGTTAAATATCTCTTGCCCTGCTGGGGTGGGGATTTCAATCCAGGTGTTTGTCCTGGTGTTTGGCCCAGAGGAAGGTTTGATTGGAGGTGACATCCAGAAGTGTTTTCTGTTTCCCTGAGTCAGGGATTCACTTGGGATCTTTGCTCCTGGAAAGCCAGAGAACAAACACCATTGCCCCCAGATGCCTCACCCTATAAACTGTAGCTGGAACGTGCTCCATGTTTATTTATTCCACTGCTGCACTCAAATGAGACTTTTGTTGGGTTTTTAATAAGGAAAAGTTGTACCAAAAAAAAAAGGCAGGACACAAGAAATAACTATTTTTACGTTCAGCTCTTTGTCTCCTGTGCCCTGACTTCCCTTTGAATTCCAGGTGAGCTCCTGCATTCCCTGGGCTTTGGGCTGCCTGCTCCTTTTTTTAGCAGCGCTGTGGTGAGACCACTGACAAGGAAATTGCTTTTCCTGTTGACCTTCCAAGCACATCTTGGCAAATTCTGCTGCCTTTGGGGCTCGAAGGGCTTGTGGCAGCAGTGCAGGGAGGAGTTGGAGACCTTTTGTTGGGTTGGAATTATAAATATTCCCAGCTCTGTGTGGGGACAGAACGAGGCTGTCGTGCAGTGTTTGCAGCAGAGATTAAACCACCGTGTTTTATTTCGGGTGGCTCAAAACTGAGGTTCTGTTTTGAGGTTTCTCAGCCCTCGGGTGAGAAAGTGAAGCAAAAAGTCTGATCCTGAGGGCTGGGAGTGCGTTAAAAAGTCACTGTGCTCCTTTCCAGCCCCGTGTTGACTTAAATATTCTGCTGCACAGAAAGTGTTGGCCTCTGAAATGAAAAAATAAACACCACAACCGCTCTGCATCCAGTTATATTAACACAGGCTGTGTGTGCAGAGAGGGTGAGGAGAAAAAAAGAGTTCACAAGAGTAGAAAGGCCCGTTAAAAAGTTATTACAAACAAAGCTTTTAAAAATAAATGTAAAGCTTTTTTTTTTTTTTTCTTTTTTTTTTTTTGGGGTTTGGGGGTAAGAATCATTTCCACAGCCAAAGCTGACACTAGGGAAGAAAAGAACAAAAAAAAACCCAAAAAGAGATGAATGTGGGAGCCAGATGGTTTCACTGGGCTTGGCAGGCAGGACAGTGCATTTGCCACGTGCAGCACCTGAATGGAGGAGGAAATTTTGGGTTTCCAAACAGATGGTGTTGAGGGACTCAGCAAAGCTGTTCACATTGGCAAGGAGTGGGAAACTGGGGAGGGTTGTTTTTTTTTCCAGCCCCCAGAGACCCATAAATTGCTGGTGGAGGACGAGTGGGGATCGACCCTTCGGTACTTCCTTTGCGTTCCCCCCCCCCTCCCCAGGTATACACAAGGAAGGGCTTTGGAAAACGTGGGAGTTTTCCAGCTCAGCCTGGGAATTTGTCTTCCCCTGTCCTTTCTCTGCCATCCTCATCCTCTGCAATCCTCTGCTGACAGGTCTGCACTGAGGATCTCGGTGCTGATAAGAGCCCAGGTGGCACCATCCCACCTCGGGTCACCTCCCAAACACCGGAGGCCGTAACTTTTTCTAGACAGAGGAGGAAGGAAACTGCTTTTCTTTTTTTTTCTTTTCATTCTCTCAGTGTCCCCCTTAAAATAATTCCCAGAGGAGGGGGTGAAAAAAAGGAAGCCCCGAGAGCAGGCGGCGCGTTGGGAATGTCGGACTCCTTCCCGCGTCTCCTGCCCGCGGAGTCGGCATGTTCCTTCTGGATGCATCCTGCATGCTGCACCCAGGGCATGTGGACACGGCTGGCAGCTCCCTGCCACCCTCACACGTGGGGTTTTAGGGATATGGAGGTGTGAGAGCTGACCTAGGAGAGGGCAGGTCCAGCATGACCCCTCTCCGGAGGGGCAGCCTTGGGCGTCGCTTCCCAAGGCTGCCCTGAAAACCGTGGAGGGGGACAGTGATTACACTCGTCCACACCTGGTGTGAGTGGGGTTCCTTAGAGCATCACAGCCTTGCACACACCCCCAGTAGGTTCTGGGCAGACCATGTGTGGATTTTCCTGTGCCTGACTTGGCTGTGTCTCCCTCAGACTCCGTTCCAGTCGTCGGGGTTGGACACGAGCAGGACGACCCGGCACCACGGGCTGGTGGACAGAGTGTACCGGGACAGGAACCGCCTGGGCTCGCCCCACCGCCGGCCCCTCTCCGTGGATAAACATGGAAGACAGATATCCTTTGGTGCAGGACCCCCTGCTTCCAGTTCCCTCAGTTCCTTCCTGCCCTCCTCACCTGGGAGAGCTGTTCCCGTCCCTGCTCATGGCACCCCTTCTCCTGAGCTGTGGGAAGGACCTGAAGGGAGTGTTGGACCTTCCCCTGTTCCCTCAGCTCGGAGTGGGGCTAATCCTGCACACGGAGCTGGGGATCCGGGTCCTTTGCTGGTTTGGTGGCACCAGCAAGGGCTCCCCTGGGGGCAAATCCTGCCCGCTGAATTCTGCGGCCTCCCACGATGGGGTCACTGACATCATCCCCCTGGACCTGTGCCAAGCTTTTGGCAGCGTCCCACACCATATCCTTGTCTCTGGACTGGAGAGCCGTGGATGTGATGGATGGCCCCGCTCCGTGGGGGATGGCCACGCTCCCAGAGCTGCAGCCAGCATGTCCACGTGGGGGCCAGCAGTGAGTGGCACCCTCAGGGCTCGCTTTTGGGGTCTCATAATGTCTCTGTTGGTGACATGGGCAGTGGGATCGAGGCCACCCTCAGCAAGTTCACCAGCTTTGTGGCCCCCAACCATGAGAAGGACACGGATCATCTGCTTCCAACCCAAACCATTGCGTGATTCTCTGAAAAGCCAGGGCCGTCTGGGGGAAGCAGAGTTTCCCTTTGGATCCGAGTAAATCCAGCCCGGGCTAATTCCTTGCAGTCGGTTGTGCATTTGATTGCAGGTTGATTCATCCAGTTGGCACTTGCCCAGCGATGTTTCTTCTTGCCTCGATTAGCTGATTATTTCTGATGTGCCACCGTCAGGTTGGTTTGATGGGGCCGGAGGGGCTGTGGGAATGGGGGAGCGGGGGGGATGGTGGCTGCCCAGGGAGCAGTTGGATCTGCAGGAAAGCAGGATGAGTGTCTCTTGCTGCTCAAACATCACAACAATCCACATAATCCTCTGGTTGGAGTGTCCCTTTGAAGTTCCCCCAGGGTGTTGCTTGCTTTTCTCCTGCGAGCTCGGTGCCTTCCGACGGGGCAATTGGAATTATTCTGGGGAAAAGACATTCCAGTGGGCCCTCTGCTTCAGTGAGCAAGTGCTGTTGTTCCCCTTAACTCTGGGCTCACGTGGACAGCTGTCCCTACGGAACGGTGTACCTGTCCCCTCCGTCAGACACCAGCTGGAGAAGGTTGGTAGCACCTCGTTCGGGCAATCAAATTGTCCTGTATCCCTCTCAACCCCATCACTGAAACAGTGGCTCTTCCAACTTGAACTAATTTGTCCTGCAAATCAGTTGTTTCACAAGGAAATCGTCCCTTGGTATGTGCCATCAATAGATTGTTTTGGGTTTTTTTTAATGCAGAGTGTTCAGGTTTTGCTGAGTTGGTTGCCTTGATCTGAGAGGTTGAAATTCTTTCATTTAGAGAAGCTGGCAATAAAAATACCGTGGGTTTTTTGCCTTTTTTTGTTTTTTTGCAGGACAAATTCCGATTCTGCCTTGCACCAGAGCACCATGACTCCAGCTCAGCAGGAATCCTTCTCTGGAGGGTCCCAGGACATGCAGCAGAAAAGAGGTAAACAGGGAAAAATGACTGCAGGTATTCCTGACGTGATCTGCAGGGGAGTTGTGAGACACAGATCTGCTGGTGCTCCCTGGATCCATGACAGGAGTCGGAGTGAAGGGTCACATTTACCTTTGTGGGTGCTGAAATCCAGGAAAAAATGGTTCAGAACTGAGCAAGGACATTTCTCTGAGCCCCAAGTTGTGTTATTCTGGCATTTCTCCCTGGGGAGGAGGATCTGGGCTGGTGGGACTGGTGGAGAGTGCTCCGAGTGCCGCTGAAGGTTGGGAGCAACTCCTGGAGCAGCACAGAGATCACAGCAGCTCAGCCAGGGGTACAACACTTGGAAGGAGCAAGAGCTTCATCTTAGTTCTTAATTTACAGCCTTGAGATTCCCCAGGGGACGTCCCCCCCCAGAGGCAGCACTTCCAGACAGCGCTGATAACATTTCCAGCTCCAGGCTGGAGCAGCCTCTGGAACCACAGTTCTGGTGCCCTCTGCTGGGCCTTGAGCCTGCTCCAGCTCAGGGAACACGGCAGGACTTGAGCATCCTGGAGGTCTTCTCCAGCCTTAACCATTCCCTGGTTCTGTGGAAAGCTCTAAAAATCTGTGTGGGGAAGTTTAATCCTTCAACAGGCACCCAGAGATCGGGGACTCACTGATAGTTCTGAACTTCACATTTTTCAAATTTCCAATCTGAAAGTGTCTCCCTGAGAAGCTTCCTGTTATTGGTGATTAATTATATGGATTGCTTTTTTGTTCTCTTGTTTTAGTTTTGTTACTGACTGTCCCTGGAATGGAGGAAGGCACCTCAGATGCAGACAAAACCCTCTCCAAGCAAGGCTGGGACACTAAAAAGGTGGGAATTGCGCCCTTCAAAGTGTAGAAATATTAATTTTCTAAACACATTGAGGTCAATGAATGCTTTAAACATTACCACAGTAACAAACCACTAGAAGAGATTTGAGATTAAATGTTGTGTTTGGAAACAAATCATAAACAACAGTCCAGAAAGGCATTTTTAGGGATTTATGTGTGTAGGCACGGCATTGATTTTATCAGGAGAAAATCTTGAAATTTAAGATTCATTTGGACAATAAAGCAAAAAAAGGGTGATAAATATCTTCCAAGAGCTTCACAAAGCTCTTGTGTAGAGTAGCTCTCCTGTGCAAATGTATAAAATTAAACTTTTGAGCTGAAATACATCCTGAACACTCATTTCCAGCAGTATCTTTGCCTTTAAAACTCTCTCCCTTCTCTTGTAGACCGGGTCATCCAGACCTAAATCATGTGAAGTTCCAGGAATCAAGTAAGTTTTGAGCAAGTTGGTTTTTTTTCTGAAGAGCACTGAGCTCTTTCTAAGAAAAAAAAAAATACTGTGTGTTGAATATCCTCTTCCTTTGGAATTCCCTGGAAAACCCTCCCATGGCCTAACCCTACTCTGGATGTGGGACGTGTTGGTCAAAAATCCAATGTCTGGTGTTACAGATGGAATTCCCTCTGTAAAAACCACCTTGGAAAGCTGGAATTCCATCTGAGATGTGTCTTTTTTTATTCCCCCTCTCTCCCTAATTCAGCATCTTCCCATCAGCTGACCAGGAGAACACTACAGCCCTGATTCCTGCCACGCACAACACGGGCGGCTCCCTGCCGGACCTGACCAACATCCACTTCCCCTCCCCGCTCCCCACGCCGCTGGACCCCGAGGAATCCACATTCCCTGCCCTCAGTAGCTCCAATAGCACCGGGAATCTTGCTGCCAACCTGACTCACTTGGGCATCAGCACTGCCAGCCAGGGTGAGATCATAACTCCCAGGGCCGGGCTGTGACACCTGGCGCCTGAATTTCGGTCTAAAATGGTGGCATTCTCAGCCCAGAATATTAATGTTTCTTCTCAGAGTTAATTGCTCTTCCCCTGCTGATTGACTTTTCTTTGTAAACAGGTTTTATATGTACAAAAAAAGCCGTGAGAAAGCTGTGTTTAGTTATAGGATGTTCTCGGTGCCCAAACCTGCCCTTTTGGGTTTGAGTTTTGAGTTTTATTTTTGGGAGGTTTTTGTGTGTGTGTGTGTTTTTGTTTGTTCGTTTGTTATATTAGGTTGGTTTGGTTTTTATTTTGTTTGGGTTTTTTTGTTTGAGGTTTTTTTTGGGGGGGGGGGAGTTTTTAATTTTTTTTTTATATTTTTAATTTTTTAATTTTTTATATATAAAACTACATGAGAAGGTTTCTTTTTTAATTCCTCTTGTAATTCGTTGTGCTGAACCCCAGCAACCCCTGTGTTATGGGAACATCCTCAGCAGCCCTTTTATTTCCCTTTCCCTTAAAATGGCATTTTTGAAACGTGAGGATTCTCTTGGAGAGAGAACATTGTTTGCCTCCTCTGAAGCAAAATCTTCCCCTTTGAGCAGGCAGGACCAACGTGGAGCCTTCCCAGGCTGTGCTCACTTTTGTCAGCTTGACTGCTTTGAGTTCCCAAAACATCCTGAATATCCAGGGCTTCGGGAAATGACACCAAGGGAAACATGAGTTGTGCTTGTTGGGGTTTTTTAGGACTTTGGCAAGATGGATAATTTGATTTTTAAGACCCCATAAACCAGCATTATTTGCCTTGTTGGCAATTTCGATTATTCATAGTGATGGTCCTTTCAGGACTTGTTGACTTTATAGGCAAGTAGCCTAAACACCAGTTTATTGATTATTATGATTGTTCTTTAAGTCATTTCACTGGTTTAGACTCCAATAATCATGAAGAGGGTTGAGTTTTCCTGTTGTCAGTGACAGTTGCAGTCTGTTGGTTCCTAGAATAGAAATGAGGCATTGTATCCAAAAATACAAGTTGATTTCCTGTGCTGGGCAGGATTCCCTTTCCCACTTGACAATCCTCTCCTGTATCGGGAAGAGGAAATTATTGTAATCAGGTTACTGACTGAGCAGGTAAGTTTGAGGAGGAAGCAAGAGGAGGGTTTAACCATTTGAGGGCAGAGTGGATTTCAGCGTCCCTGAGCGAGTTTTTTGGTCTCAAAAGTGGCTGTTCCAGGGTCGGGCCGTCGCTCCCAACAGAAATCAGGAATTTTTGCTGCACCCATATCTAGCAAACTAAATGGTGTAAACCCCATTTGCTTTGAAAACTTCTCCTGCTCTCTCAAAAACACGACAAAATAAAGATGGGATGGAATTCCTGCTTCTCTTCACAGACCATCCCACAGCTCAGCCACCGCCCTGCTCAGTGTTGGGGGGCGCCTTTGAAACCGATTTTTCCCCAACTTCCCCTTGCTGCTCTTTGGCAGGAAAAACCTCAGTAAGGCCTTTTGAACCTCGGTGCCCTGCACAGGCACGTCCTTGAGCAGCCCTGGCAGGAGGTGGGGCAGCAAACACTGGTTGTGTCCCTCAGACCTGCACGTTTGTGCCACCCGAGGTTTGTTGGTTGGGTGTTGGGTCACGGGCGCGCTCCGTGAGGTGAAGTGTCGGGTTTGCAAACACAGCCTGGCAGTTGGAGCTGCTCTTGCCTGCTGGCTCCTTGGCAGCCTGGACTTCCTGGCTCCCTGGCATCCTGCCTGGAAGCCTTGAACCTTTGCCAGGTGCCTGGGAGCTCTCAGGCTCCGTGAATCCCTCCTTTCTGGCAGCTCCGGGAGAGAAGCTCGCTCGCTCCGCTGTCCTGGAATCACTTCCCAGGGTGACTCCATGGCTCTGGGCTGAGGCAGAAAACAGGGGAGGTTTCTAAACTTCCAGATTTTTGTCTTGATTCGAACAAATTCAGGGTATTTGTTTGTCCCTACCCCCTGCCAGGTCGTGGCTCTTGGGGAGCGTGATGGATATTTCCTGCGCTGTGCCATTAGAAAGGGAGCTCTTCCTGCACAACCTGTTTTTCTTCTGCTTTTTCCATTAAAGAGGTGTTTGCTTTTACAGTATCTCGAGTGCCCCCTGATTAGCGTGGCTGCAGGATCTGTTCTCTCATTCCCAGAGCCTGAGCCTGTACAAACAGAGCAGGACCTGCTTTGCCCGGCTCGGGCTGTGTGAGGACGATCCCTGCGGGGCCTGGAAGCGCCGAGGCCGCTCTGCCTCTCCCGCTTCCAAGTCATCTGTGCACGAACCTGTGCCTGGATTGAGTCCAGGATAAACCACAGGGATCTTCCTCTCATCCTGCCGCTCCTGAGCCCGGGCAAATTAATTACAAATCACCTAACGAGCCCCGGGCTGCTCGGCCGGGGCGCGTCCAGCCCTTTGCGTGGGGTGGTTGTCCTCTCAGGCCACTTGCTGCTGGTCATCGAGGGGATTACCTGTTGTACAGGTGTCAGTAAAGCCTGGCTGTGTTCCTGCTCAATCTGCTGTGCTCATTCCCAGCAGGAATGACGACGACGCCGGCCCCTTCCCAGCAGCACCGCCCGCCCGCCGTGAGCCCCCTGTCCTTGGACTCCAGGAGACCACAGTCCCAGCAAATGTCCCCCACGCTCTCCCCTCTGTCACCAATCACTCAGGTAGGGCCTGGTGGCAGGGTGGAGGTTGGTTTTGTCACAGATCTGTTGTTTTACTCTGCTCAAACCGGCAGAGAGGGGGAGTTAGGTGGGATATCGGGAAGAAATTCCCGACTGGGAGGGTGGGGAGGCCCTGGCACAGGTTGGGCAGAGAAGTTGTGGCTGCTCCAATCCCTGGAAGTGTCCAAGGCTGGGTTGGATGGGGCTTGGAGCAACTTGGGCTAGTGGAAGATGTCCCTGCTCACGGAAATTTTAACATCCTTGCCCACCCAAACCATTCTGGGATTCCATGAATTTCATCTCTCTTGTCCTGTAATTCCCTTCTTTAAAAGTGTTCCTTAATTCAGAGCCTTAAAAAGGGAGATTTTACTTCCTCTTTCCTAGGACTGTGGTAAAACCCACCTGTTGGGACACATACATTTCCATGAAGGTGTTGTCCCAAAGTGAAATTTGAAAGACATTCCTCATGAGAAAAATCACGATTAACTTTTTAAACTGATTTCCTGAGTGTACCCCTGTGACTGCCCACGGGGATTTCTGAGCTCAAGATTCCACTGGGCTTTTAAAGTGCTTGTTTGTTGTACGCTGGAGGTGCTGCTGAGTCTTTTGAGTTAAACAATCACAGGATGGTTTGGGTTGGAAGGGACCTTAAAGCTCACCCAGTTTCACCCCCTGCCAGGGGCAGTTCCCTCCCAGCACAGCTGATTCTCCCCCTTGTTTCCCAGGCCGTGGCTATGGATGCACTGTCCCTGGAGCAGCAGCTTCCCCCGTACCCCTTTTTCACCCAGACAACTTCCCAGCAGCAGCAGCAGCCGCCAGTGGCCAGTTCCCTGCCCCAGAACCCCCCGATCCTGCAGAGCTCGGGGCTGCAGAGGGGCCCTCAGCTCCCCCCTCTGTCCGTCACGGTACCTTCCACCATCCCACAGTCGCCTCCGGGGAGCCAGAGCCAGCCCTCCATGGGCATAGACATCAACTCGGTGAGTCTGGGAGCAGCTTCCCTTGGGAAAACCCGGCAGGGATCAGCCTGGGCAGCTCGGGTCATCCTTATCCCATTGTGAGATCCATCGTCTCAGGCAGAACTACACGCAGAGTGGAAATTTCTAGGGGAAGTTTGGGTTTAGTGTGCTCTCAGGGTGGCCGTGTTTACGTTAAATTTCGTCCCTTCCAGCTCCAGGTTGGCTTAGGACAGCTTCGATGTATCAGCATTTATTTTACACCTTGCTGGGCTGTTGCTGTGGGAGATTTTTGGGGTGTTCAATGTGTACCCCCAACACACAGACCAGGGAAGCCCACAGAGCCTTGAGAAAAAAAAACCTGCCAAACAAGCATTTTCCAATCCAAAGAACATTTGGGAAATGTGTTGGAAAGCTGTCAAGAGCCAGGTGTTTTCTGCACCTCCTCTACTCAGAACCCTTTTACTTAAGGAATTTTTGGGGCATCCATTGTCACCTTCCAGAATGGGATTTGTGGCTGCCCTCGGTGCCCAGAAGACAGGGAGTGTGTCTGGACGTGCAGGGAGGGTTTATGGGCAAACAAATCCCTTTTCTTGCTCCTTTTAACATGAAATGTTAGGAAATGTTCTGTCTCAGCAGCTACAAAGCCCAAATGCAGGGCCAGGATCAGGGAGGGAGGGATGTCCCAGCTCCTCCTGCTCCTTCTGCCCCGTGTAGGATCCTGGTTGTCCACCCTGTGGTGTCCTGGCAGTGCTGTAGGGACAGGAATTGCTTGGAGAATGAGAAGAAATCATTGCTTATTGATCTGTCACTCGGTTGGGGGTGAAATTTTTAACAGTTTGTGCTGATAAATTCTTCTTGAGAGCAGCTGCTTCCCTCTCAGGACTGGAAGGGGAGGAGGGAAGGACAGTCCAGCAGTGGAAAGGATTCCCACTCAAAATATGTCCCAGTGTTTTGGTTCTAATCCTCATGTAGTGCCAGTACAGCCAGTTCTGATTTCATCCTTTGCTTTCTGTGTTGCTTTCCTCATCCTAAACCTCTTTATGACCTTCACTTTTAGGGTGCTGTGCTTGTATCTTTTAAAGCAACTGAAATAATTCCCCAGTAAACAGATTTAAAAGCAGATTATGGAAAAGCTGAGCTGTCAGAGTCCCACTGGCAACTTCTCCACAGCTTTTGTAAAGCAGAATTGAAATTCCTTTGTAGTTTGGGGGGCTGCTTGCAGTCTGCAAGTGGCAGTGCAGAACAGAAAGATATTTTCCAGAGATTTACAGAATTCCAAACTGTTGGAAGTGCAGTGTCTTCCCACACTGCAAAGCAGCTGATTAAATTTACTGGATTGCAGGTTTTCCTCAATCATCTGTAATTTGTGAGGAAGTAGAGTGAGGAGAGCTGTGCTACTGCTGCTGTTAATTAGTACAGCATTATTTAAATGCCATTAATATTATTAATTTGTTCAAATCCAGGGTTTTAATGATGAGGATAAAGAAGGTAAATCTTGGAAAACACATTTCAGTGTAAAAGTCAGTGATTTAAAGCTGCAAAACGCAGTGTGAATTCCCAGCCAGTGTCCTGGGGTGCAGTGGAGTCTGGGGGGTGACACCCCAGGTGTGTCAAACAGGGGTGTCCAGAACACCCCAGGCTCTTCAGTTGGGGGCAGAGCAGGATCCCGGAGCAGGGCGAACCCACACGTGGGGATGAAGAATCAATGCCACTCCTCTTGAGTTATTCCCAGCTTTCAAGACTTCTTTGCCCTCAATCCTTGGCTGACCTGATTTTTTTATTTTTTTTAATAAATGGAGCACGACTGAGCGCAGGGAGGAAATACTCCCTGGCTGTGCTTGTCCACAGCCCCGTGCTCACACAGACCCCCCCTGAGCTCTCCCCCTGTCAGGGCTGTAACCCTGCCTTCCTCCACAGCCAAGGCCGCTGAAGAGGCTGGTTCCTCCCAGCTGGATCTGCCAGGAGTGTGTGTGTGTGTGTGTGTGTGTGATTTCTGCAGGCCTCCCTCAGTGCCACGGTGTTTAACTCTGTGTCGTTCTGTAGGCGTCACTCCAGCAGTACCGCAGTAATGCTGGATCCCCAGCCAACCAGTCTCCCACCTCTCCTGTCTCCAATCAAGGCTTCTCTCCTGGCAGCTCCCCTCAAGTAAGGGACTCTGTGCTTCCACAGGCCTTGCTTCTCGTGTGTGTTCTAGCTCAGTCTCTCCATCACTGACCCATAGCTGTCTCACTGTAACTCCGTGTGCTCCTCATGCATCTCCAGCGTCTCATCCCGGCTGCACCTCCATTCCAGGGCCAGAGTTTTTCAATAGCTGGTGAATTGCCTTTTTCTAGGGGGGGGAACAAAGCTGCTGTTTGAAGGCTGGGGTTTTTGGGCGGGTTTCTTTGGGGTGTTGCATGGACAGAACCTCCAGGAAGAATCCTTTCGGTTCCCGGTATCCTGGGGGAGCTGATGGGTAAGGCTGGCAGGGCAGAGGGGAGTTCCAGTGCCTCCTGGGGCACTGAATATCCCTTGTGTGGCCAAACCTATTTACAGCAGGACCTTTCTAGTGTGGGAACACACCCTGTGAAGGAAAACACTGGAGAAAATGCTCCTAAAATGAGCAGCTGTACCTTGTGGCTGGCAGGGAGTGGGTTACCAACTCTCTTCCTTGCCTGCCAGCTGGTTTTCCTTCCTCTGTGTGCATCTGCTGCCAGATCCACGTGTCCTGTATGGAAGTCATAGCCTGGGGATGTGTGTGATCCTCTGAAGGGGGATTTTTCCCTACCAGCAGCAAGAAATTAAAAACAAACAGGGTTTGGGGGGTGCCCCAGTGTAAGAAAGGGCATTTTCAATATTGATGCTGCTGAAATAGCTCCAGCTGGGCTGCCCTGGAGAGTCCCACCTGCAGAAACAAGGTGCAGGGAGTTCTTGCAGAGCACCCCAGGAGTCTGAAAATACATTTTCTGTGTCACCATTTAACGTTGAAGGCTGAGGGGCCTTTCTGAGTAAATGACCCTTCACGGTCCCAAAGCAGGAGCTCCATCCCTCATTAGCCAGGCTCAGGCCACTGGAAAGCTCAGACCTAGATCCAGGTCAGGACTGACTGGATATCCTTAACCCTGGCTTAACTGCTGCTCAGCCTCTCTCTCCTTCTGCTGCTGGGAGTCCTGCTGTGTCCTCTGTGTGGCTCCAAACACCACAGTTAACCCTTGGGCCATCCCAGGGGGCAGAGCTGCTGCCCCTCCTGCTGCAAAACCTCAGTTCCCACAGGGGCAGCACAGCCAGCTGGGATTTTCAGGTTGATTTTCTTTCCCCCTTGACAATAATCTCAATCACTCTGTGCTGGTTTTGTCCACAGATTTGTTGCCTCTGGTCAGTGCAAAGTGCAGCAAGTGGGGCACCCACTGGGCTGTAGTTTTTCCTGCTGTTTTATCCCATAAAATCTTCCTTAGGTTTTGCTCTTTTCAAGTGAGACACCACAACTCTGAGAGCAAGGAAGAGGATTTATTAATACTCTGGTATTGGCCTCTTAAAAATGCCCACAGAAGCCTTTATTTCTACCAAATTAAACCCAAGATGGCTTTGCTGTCTCCAGCACCCAAAAGCTGCTGCTGGTGGTCAGAAATATTTAAATGTGGAAGGAAGCAATGGAGGAAAGAAAAACCAGTTTGGAGGGAGGATTGGGGTTGGTTGTGGCGATGGGGGCAGCTCCCAGGTGCCAGGATCCTTTAACCTGCCCACAGTGAAGGCAGAACCCTTCCAACAGGAGAATATCCCCATGGTGGAAGAGCTGCTCTTCCTTCCTGCGTGGATCTCCTCACACATCCACGCGTCCCGGGTGGAAGTCATAGCTTGGGGATCCTCTGAAAGGAGGGACTTTTCCCTGCCAGCAGCAGGAAATTAAAAACCAAGCTGGGTTTGGGGGTTCCCCTGTGTAAGGGAGCGAGAGCAGGAGTGGGATGAAGTAGGTGCTCCTCTTTCTCCCAGGAATTTTGGGTTCCACCCTTGCGGTGTTACGAGGGGCACCCTTTAAACCCGGGAACGATGCCGGGTTTGGTGCGGCTCACACCCTGTTCAATCACCAGAGGTTCTCCTTCATCTTCCCACCTCTCCAAACCCTTTTTTCCCGTGTCCCAGCCCTGTGTGTGTGTGTGTGTGTGTGTGTGTGTGTCCAGCCAGGGATTGGAAAGCTCTGCCTGCAGCCCCAGCTCTGTGTTTGCATGGCTGTCCCCTCCCCTCACACATCCTGCTCCGCTCACACACCCGCCTGCTTTAGTGCCTCCAGCCTGGACAACCTGGTAGGTATTTTGGGGATGGATAATTCCAGCCAGGGAGGGGTTTTGTGCTTGGGGCTGTTTTTTTTTATCCTTGCAGTCCCCCCAGCATTAACCCCAGAAGATCCCCCGCTGACCAAACCCTCTGCCCAGTGTTCCTGCCGTTCACGAGATGTTCTTCCCGGAGCTGTTGATAAATCCTCCCAAGGCTCTGAAGTGTTGGAGTAATGACATTTGCAGTGGATTTCCCTCGGGAGTTTCAGTGCTTGCAGCTGTAGTAACCGAGCACACTTCACATGAGGAGCAAATCCCGTGTTTTGTTTGGAGTTACTGACCCAAACTTGCACAGACACGTCCTGCTCTCCTGGTGATTATTTTTCGGGTTCCCTGAAGTTTTTTAAGGGTGGGAACAGTGCTTAGTGAAACACAGAGATTTTAGGGTTTGCCCTACTGCTGGAGAGCTCCTGGGGAAATGAAAGGACAGGGGTTTAAAGGGGAGAGAAATACCTCGGTGCTCTCTGGAGCTCTGGAATAGCAGTTGGATTTCTGGTGCTGCTTTTGCCTCATGTTGAGCCTGTGACACCCTGAAAATTCATTTTTTTCCTTAGAAGTGATTATAACCCAGAGGTTGGATTGGATTGGATGATCTCAGAGGTCTTTTCCAGCCTCATTGATTCTATGATCCCACAGTGCTGATGCTGTTCCTGCCCCTCCACCTGAGAATCATTTTCCGTGGCAGAGTTATGGTCCTGATCCGCTTGCCTGAGTGAGCTCTGGGCTCTGACTCCAGGTTTCTCAGGAGGAACAGATGGAGCAGGCTGGATAATCTGGAGTTGGGATAAGGCTGCAAATGAGGGCTCAGTGGTTAAAAAACCCCCGCATTTTCCTTTAAATAAATCGATTTGAGTAGTGCTTTGCCTTTTATCAGCTGTAACGTGGCTCTTGTGGTGTTTGATCTCCTCCGGTGTTTGATCCCTCTGGATGTTTGATCCCTTCAGGTGTTTGATCTTTGTGGATGTTTGATCCCTCCCAGTGTGTGATCCCTTCCTCGCAGCCCTCCCGGGCAAGGGATCCAGCAGCCCTTGGAGTTTTGAGGACTTGATGATAGATTGGAAAAGTTATTCCAGTGACACCCATTTCCCACGTTTCTGTGGAGTAGGGATGGCCTGGTTGCTACGTGCTCTGGGTGGGACAGACCATAAATCCCAGGAAAGTGAATCCACAATCTCCCAAGTGCATCCAAACCACCCCCTTGGACACAGGGATGCTCTGGGATCAAAGGGGATCTGCCCAACCAGAAGCTCTGGAATAGGAGTTCCAGCCCCCTTCCCTCGGGGAGCCTGGGCTGGGAATTTCTGCCTTGATGCCACATTTATCCAGAATCATCCCTGGGATGTGTCAACCGAGGGGTGAAGGTGGTTTTGCTTCAAAAGGAATTTATTGGTGCCTCTTTCCTGGTGTTCCCCTCGGAGAGGGGCAGTTTTTGAGTTCTTTTCTTAATACAAGGTATTTTTGGGAGTATCTTTAATCTCTGGCTCTTCAGTGCCTTTAGCTGTGGGGTGCCTGTTCTGATGCTTCCTAAGCTTTTCCTTCATTTCCCATTCTGCTTAGGTTTTCAAGGAGGAAATTTGTAGCCTTCTGCTTTTAACTAAACCAGCAGTTGAATTTCTACCTCAAGGCTGAGACAATCTCTTCACTCAAATTATCTTTAATAGACATTCTCCTTGCCAGTAAATGGAATTTTTTTTTTTTTCAGCTGGAATATCAGAGTTTGTGAGTTTTAAAGAAGTGATCTCTGATTTTTTTTTTTTTGTATCTGCAATTTTTTTGGGGTACAATATTCCATAGTGTTAAATCACTGTCCTCACATTCTTGGTCACCCTTAGGACAATTGATGAATTCTTGGTCACCTTCAGAACAACTGATGAATTTTGGTCACCTTTCAAAGAATTGATGAATTCTTGGACACTTTTTAGAACAATTTATGAATTCTTGGTCACCCTTAGAACAATTTAAGAATTCTTGGACACTTTTAAACAGTTTGTGAATTCTTGGTCACCTTTAGAACCATTGATGAATTCTTGGTCACCTTTAGTTGATGAATTCTTGATCACCTTTAGAACAATTGATGAATTCTTGGTCACCTTTAGAACAATTGATGAATTCTTGGTCACTTTTAGAATAATTGATGAATTCCTGGTCACCTTTGGAACAGTTGATAAGCGATGGAGAATAACGATAAACCCTTGTGGTGCCGGAGGGCACAGCGACTTTTCAGCAAGGCTCAGGAATTCCTCCTGGAATTCTTGCTGATCCCGTGCTCCCCTGGCCTTCCCCCTCACCTCTGCTGCTCGTGGAAAACCACTTTAAACCGTGACTTTTGTCCTTGCAGAGCCAGAGCCAGCCCAGCCCCGCCTGGGCTCTCCCCGCCGCCCTCAGCGTGGCCTTTCTGCCCCCGGGCCCCCCGAATTCCCCCAAAAGCCGAAGCCAGCGAGTTGGTTTTGTGCCCCCCCGTGTGTGTGTGTGTCCATCCCCCCGAGTTTTCCGTGTCGTGTGTGCTCGGGGAGGAGCTGCTGGGGGTTCTCTGCCCGTTCCCGCGCTCGGGGCGCTCCGGCTGCCCCGTGGATGTCCCGCAGCTCCCGTGGGGCCGTGGGGGCCGGGGGGGGTTCGCACCATAAAGCCTCTTGTTTTGTTTTCAGCATTCTTCCATGCTGGGCAGTGTTTTTGGGGACTCCTATTATGAGCAGCAGATGACAGCTAGGCAGGCTAATGCCCTCTCCCACCAGGTGAGCAAATTCATCTCGGCCCCAGCGGCCACTTCCGCCTTCAAATTAAGAGCAATTAACTCCTAATTATTCTGTGTCGCAGCACGTTCTGTCCATGTAGAGTTTTCCTTCTGTTCTTTTTAGTTTCTGACACTCAGGAGTTTCTTTTCTTGTTTTGTTTGGTTTCCCCCACCACCACCCTTTCCCTCCCCCTCATCCCTCGTAGCTGCAGGTGCTTGTAAAGGTGTTCCTCCAGCCTTTGCACTGAAAAGGAATGAAAATCAGTGAAAACAGTTAAAATGACAAAGATTTAAAAATAAAAACGGTGAAGATCGACTTTTCAGAGGAAAAATAATGAAAGGAAATTTAAAAAAAAAATCGATTTAAAAAAAAAAGAAAAATTTTTAAAATAATGACAATTTTTAAAAAGGAAAAGCAATGAAAGGAAATTTAAAAAAAATCCATTTTAAAAAGAAAAAGGGTAAAAAGAGATTTTTAAAATAATGAAAAACTTTTAAAAAAGGGAAAAATAAAGGAAATTTTAAAAAAATTGATTTTAAAAATGAAAAATAGCAAAAGGAAATTTTGAAAACGATGAAAGTTTTTAAAAAGGAAAAATAATGAAGGGAAATTTAAAAAAAAAATCAGTTTTATAAAAGAGTGAAAAGAAATTTTTAAAAGACTGAAAATTTCTAAAAAAGAAAAAGAGGAAGAAAGAAGGAGGAAAAAAGAAGGGAAAATAAATTTGAAAATAACGAAAATAAATTTGAAAAGGGCAAAAAATTAAATTTTTCCAATGGTGAAAATAATTTTTGAAAATTTTTGAATGCCGAAAATTTATAAACGTAATAAAAATACGAAAAACAACCCAAAATGAACATGAAGATAATGCAGAGCGTGGGCTCCCTTTATTTTCCATGGAAAACTCCCTTTTGTTTCGTTCCTCCCATATCCAACCCCCCCCAGTTTGAGTTTTCCCACCCCTCCTCCGAATTGGGCAGGAAACATTCCGGAAAGCTCTGTGCAAACAGCCCCTCCTTTGAGCAAGGGAAGCTAAAGATGAATTTGTTTGCCTGTCTCTCTCTCTCTCTCCCCTCTCTCTCTCTCCGCGTCCCGTCCCGTCCTCGAGCCTTGTGAGTCGTTTTGGCCGCAATTCCCGAGGGTTGGGAGTAACGATTGCCTTTGTGCCTTGGTGTGCAGCTGGAGCAGTTCAACATGATCGAGAACGCCATCAGCTCCAACAGCCTCTACAGCCCCTGCTCCACCCTCAACTACTCCCAGGCTGCCATGATGGGACTGACGGGCAGCCACGGCAGCCTCCAGGACTCGCAGCAGCTCAACTACTCCAGCCACGGAAACATCCCCAACATCATCCTGACAGGTGCGGCCCCGCTCTGCTCCGGCCTGGAGCAGCACGGAGGGCTGTGGGGGGGGGATCCACGAGGAGATGAAGCTGCTGGAGGAGGGATGGGGAGCTGAGGCAGGGCCTGAGGAGCAGCACGTGGGTTGTGGAGCTGGAGCGGGGGCTGAGGGGAGACCCCTCAGGGCCTCCCCCCAAGGGGTAGCTCCGATCTCTGCTCGCTGTGAGCAGGGACAGGACCCAGGGAACGGCTGGAGCTGTGCCAGGGGGTGTTGGGATGGATTCAGGGAAAGGTTCTTCCTCCATAGGGTGGTGGGCGCTGCCCAGGCTCCCCAGGGCAGTGGGCACGGCCCCAAGGCTGCCAGAGCTCCAGGAGCGTTTGGACAACGCTCTGAGGGACAGGGTGGGATTGTTGGGGTGTCTGTGCAGGGCCTGGAGTTGGGCTGGATGGTCCTTTTGGGTCCCTCCAGGCTCAGGATATTCCATGATTCCATGATCCAGGTTTCCTTTAGCACAGAGATCACCTGTCCCAGGGCCAGAGTGAAGAAGGAACACAGGACAGGCTCAAATCAGGGTGTCACATATGGTGGCCAGTCTGGTCACAGTTGGATTTTGGAAACAATCCCTGCGCAGGGATACAGGGAGAACTGTTGGCTCAGTCCATGCTGCAGCCAGGCCCTGCTGTTTGGAATCATGGAAATTGAGGTTGTTCCTCCTAAACCTGAGGGAGAGAAAAGCAAAGAGACACCAAAGATACAGGCAGGAACTTTGCTCTGTGTTTGGTCGTTCTGATGGTTTGGGGGGAAGCTGTGGGGAACCTGTAACTCATCCAGTTGGGAAGGACTGGGGATTTCCCTGGTGTGATGAGGATGTTCTCCATCTGAGCTTCATCCTTAGCTCAGTAAATAATTCCAGGCGTTTTGGAGCCGTTTTATGGCTGGTGGATGTGTGTTGGTGAAGTCCTGTTGACGCCTCCTCCCTGTTCTCCTTCCCCGCAGTGACAGGAGAGTCTCCCCCCAGCTTATCAAAAGAACTGACCAGCTCTTTGGCGGGCGTGGGCGACGTCAGCTTTGACGCGGATTCCCAGTTCCCCCTGGATGAACTCAAAATTGACCCCTTGACCTTGGATGGACTGCACATGCTGAACGACCCCGACATGGTCCTCACCGACCCCGCCACAGAGGACACGTTCCGGATGGACCGGCTGTGAGGGCCCGGAGCCCGGCGGGGCGGGCGAGCCGGAGCCCGTCCCATGAGCAGAGCTTGTCGTCCTGAGCTTGCCGCGCTGCAGAACCCCCCGCCCGGCGCCCCCCCCGAGCCGCTCGTTGCCGTTCATCAGTAAGGAGCTCTTTCCATCAGCCTTCCCCCAATCTCTCTCTCTCTCTCTCTCTCCAGGGCTCCCCCCCAGTTTCCCACCCCCCTCCAGATCCAGCGTGACGTTGTCGGTGTGTCCTTTGCACTAGAGAAGGGGTTGGGGCAGGTGAGGAAGGTGAAGGGATTCCCAGTTTTTGGCTGCGGGTTGGGATGGGGAAGGGGGGGAGGCCCCGGCTGTGCCCCCTGCCCTGTCCCCTCCCGCGGGCCCGGCGGGGACTCTGCTGTGTCACCTCCCTGGAGGCTGAAAGGCTCCTCCTTTCCGTGTGTGTCCCCAGGAATTAGCGTTATTTTTGAGTCTTATGAACCAGTTAAACCCATAACACCCCCCCGAGGGGGAGCTGAGCCTGGAGAGGGAGGCATTTCCAGGGGGGAGGGGCTGAGCAGCCACGGGGATTTTGTTACCTGTCCCCACCCTGTGGGGTGTCCCCTTCCCTCGGCAAAGCAGAGCAGCAGCCCCCCCCCCAAAAAAAAATCCCACCACAAACACTATTTTCCCAGCTTCTGTTTTGTTTTTTATCTTTTTTTTTTATTATTATTATATATGTAATATATATATATTTCTATATATGTCTACATATATAGAGAGCATTTCTGAGCACACAAAAAAGTACTATAATTCATTACTTGATTAGCACAGGGGAAGGATCAGAGCATTTTAAAGCAGCTAAAAACAAAAAAAAAATAAAATAGAGGAGACTAACCTGCATAATTCTAATTTTACTCTGTGAGGGAGATTCCTGGGCAACAGGAAGGGCATTTCCATAGCAATGCCAGGCTTGTTAGAATCGTGATGACTTATTTTTTATTTTTTATTCATTACTTATTCTGTTACTTATTTATGATTTTGTTGTTGTTGTTGTTTCTTTTTTTTTTTTTTATTTAAATATTTGGATATTAGGAAAGTAGGTAAACTACATACAGCCAATTGAAGCACTCTACATTACTACTTGTACAGTACATCTTTTTGTGGTTTTATTCCAGAAATATATTATATATATTATATATATAGGTATTTTTAAACTAACTGGAATTCTGAACAGATGTTGAGCGGAAATAAGGAAGCTTATAAGGCAAGTTTAGATGTTTTCCTTTGAAAAACAGGCAAAGTAGGGTGGCAGGAACTTAGATATTCCTTCTTTCACCCGGGGGAAAAAATCTCTTGCTCCACAGTGACCAGGATTGAATCCTCCAAAAGGCTGAGATTCCGTTAAATTCAGTGGATAATGGACTATTTCTGGTAGTCCCTGTGAATATTCTGTGCTGCAGCATTAAAAAAAAAGTCCCACCCAAACCCCCCCAGTGCCTGGGAATTGGTGGATACCCCCCAGCATCGTGGCTGGGTTGATGGGGATTCCCAGATTTCTGCCCTTGGGTCTCTTAGGAAGTGAAGTGAAGGATCTCCCAGGGGCCCTGGGGCTGCTGCTCCCTGGCAGGGACCGTCCTCGTTCCGCTGGGATCTGCCCAGGGACAGCACCTGCCAGCACAGGGCCCTCCTCTTCAGGGCTCAGGAATCCAGGGGGAATTTCCACTGTTTTCAGAATTAAACCCACAGCACCCCCGAGGGTGAGCTGAGGGTGGAGAGGGAAGCACTTCCAGGCGGGAGGGGCCGAGCAGCCGCCTGGATTTTGTTCCCTGTCCCCTCAGCAAAGACCCCTTTCCCTTCCCAGCTGGGGTTTGTCGATCCCCAACTGCTCCTCCCGCTCCTTCTGCATCCCCTGGATTTGTTTCTTGCCTAAAAACCCATCCCCTTCTCAGCTCTTTGAGGCAAAACCCAACCCCTGCAGCCAAAAAAAAAACCCCAACCCCTCCAGCAAAAATCCCCTCAGCGCTTCCCCCATCCCAGAACGGTTTCCCACCATTCCAGCGAGCGTTAGCGGAGGGAGGAGGAGCCGAGTCACCCCTCAATTAACGAGTTGCCCTGCAATTAGGGAGCTCTCCAGGAGTGGCTCTGCTCCTAATGAGTTATACTAGGTTTCTGTGTGCTTCCAGAAATCCGTGGGCCGCCATCCCGAGGTTCCCGCCGGCCCTGCTGAGCGGGATCGTCGTGGGGATCTCTCTAATCCCGCTGTGTTCCCTCACGTTTTGTGCCATTTGTTGACCATTTGCACTAAAAATGTGGTTTGGTTTTTTGTTTGGTTTTTTTTTCCTTTGATCTCTTTGCTTTCCTGTGTCTTTTTGTGGATTTTGTTTCTTTTTTTGGTCCCTTCCCCGCTCACTCCAGAGGTTTTCCCTCAAATCTCCTGAGAATGCTTTGGGTTCTTTTTTCGGGCAGGATTTAAGCCTGGTGAGTCTGTGGTGACTCTTGGTGGCTGCTTGTTTCAGATGGCTAACACTTTTCCAGTTTAGGGAGGAGACAAAAGGCAGCTCATCCTGAAAAAAAAAACCAAACCAGGAGGGGTTTGGGCACAGGTTTGGGAAGGTGCAGCGGGAGCTGGAAACGCTTCCTGCCGCTCCCGTGGCTCCGTGGGGGGATTCCTGTGTGGCTCTCCCGTTGGAATGGCTCTCGTGCATGTGTGAATCCTTGTCTGTGATCCGTGTTTTTCCGAGCCAGGGCAGAGCATCCGAGTGGGAGCTGAGATTCCTCACGGGAGGCTCGGACAGGGAGCCCCGGATCCCCCGCTCCTGCCCGGTTTTTTAACTCCCAGTGTACATAAGAGCTCTTTTGTTTCTTAGACTTGTAAGTAGACCTTGAAAATGGCCTTAATTTCAAACTAACCCGTCTTTGGATGCAACTGTGGGATTTAGGGACCATCCAGCTGAGGGAAATCCAGGTTTTTGCTCCCTTTGTGTGGACCTGTGGGAGAGGGGAGGAGCAGGTGAGGTGGCTGTGGGAATGCTGAGGGTGACAGGGTGTGTGGGATCCCCTGTGGCCCAGGTTTGGGCAGGTAAAAGCTGCCTCTCATCCCAACCCTTGGAGACCTGGGGAAGGAATTCCAGCAGCTCCTGCCCTTCCCTTCCCCGAGGGGAACCTTTCCCCCGAAGGTTTCCTGGCACATCCTGCCCCAGTGGGGATTTTCCCCCCTCCTTCTCCCCTTGAAATTCTCTTTTCTGTGGCATCAGCAGATCTGAAGCAACCCCAGATCTGGTGGGGTTGTCAGGTGGAAATGTGGAGCGGATCCCAAGTGTTTCCAGAACAAATAGTGGGATTTTTATTTCCAGTTTCGCAGTCCTGTTCTCATTTCCAACAGGGGGGGTGTGTGAGGGTCCCTTCCCACCAGGCACTGCTGGGAGCAGGAGGAGGAGCAGAAAGGGAGGAAAACCATCACTTAGCAAAAAAAAAAAACCCCACCCCAATATCCAGAAGAAAATAGTGTTATTGGTATTATTGATAAGTTTGAGTCCAATGCTGTTGAAACTGTCTGGTGTCTCAAAGGGTGACTGTCCAAACATACCTGCTGAGTGAACCCCACCCTCCCTACATGTGTTTTTATATCTCTCTCTCTCTATATATATATAAATTAATTAAAAAATTCCCAAGCTAGACTGTTGCATTTGCCAATACAATGGGGAATAACAGGAATAAACCTTGGGCTTATCGAAAACTGTGATTTTTATTTTTTTTTTAATTATTATTATTATTTTTAAAATTTTTTTCTTGTTTGTTTTTGTTGTTGTTGTTGTTGTTGTTTTGTTATTTTTGCAGAAGCAAACCCAGCCCTAGTGCTGGTGGGTGGGGTTGTGGGGTGGGGGGGAGTCTCTTTTCCCTGTACATAGATTTTTTTCCCCCCCGTTCCCGCCGGCTCCGTGCCGGCCGCATGTGTGATCCAGGCCCGGCTCCCACGGCTTCTGCATGGCAGGGAGCTCTTGCCAGCCCTTCCCCCCTGCCACCCCTGCCCTGCACACGCAGCCTCGGGCTGCCCTTTGCCCCCTGCTTTTTGTTTGGGGTCGAAGAGTTCTGGGTTTCCAGAAAGAGGCTCCTTCTTTGTGTGGTTTTGACTGAGATTTAACGGCTTCGATCCGGGCATTTTTAAGGAGCCCCGGAACACTCATGGGTGAACCTTGAGCTCAGAGGAGGTTGGATTTGGTGATCCTGCAGGGCTTTCCCAACCTGGATTTGGTGATTCTTTCCCAACTTTGACTCAATGATTCTTTCCCAACCTGAATTTTGTGATTCTTTCCCCACCTGGATTCAGTGATTCTTTTCCAACCTTGATTTGGTGATCCTTTCCCAACCTGGACCCAGCACCTTTTTTTTTCCCAACCCTGATCCGGTGACTCCAAGAGCTGCCCCAGACTGACCTAAAGCAACCCCCAACAACATCCAAACCCACTGAGCTTTCCCTCAAAAAATAAAGCGGCTTGGCCGCAAAAACTCGGATTTCTGTGGAAACAACAACTCAGGCTCGAGCTCTGCCCCTTGGGGAAAGACCCTGGGAACCCCCTCTGGACCTGAAGGAAGCAGAAAGGCCCCTCCTCACCCTGTAATTCCCAACCTGTGCTTTTTTTGGGGGGGACAAAAAAACCTCCTCAAACCAGCGCGTTTATTCCTCGGAGCAGCGGCCCCCCCGTCACTGTGATGGCAACGTGAGAGCGCAGGTAGCCTTTGTTTGTGTGTCTGTCCTTTTTACAAAAAACAAACAGAAAAAAACCTCCAAAAAAAAAAAAAACAACCCCTTGCCTTCCCCTTTAGAATGAACTTTGTAGTGTTCCTGTCTCCTTTGTAAATTTTTTTTTTTTTTCTCTTTTTGAGTTGCATCTTATTTAATATCCGGCGCAGTGTAGGCATGGGATTGCATGTCGGTTTTTCTACGCGGGCACCACGACATTCTGACTGTGTATTATAAATCATTTTTACCTTTTTAAACAGGAGAAAAACAAAAAAACAAAAACAAACAAACAAAAACACCGACAAAAAAACCCACCCAACCAACCAAACAAACACAAAAAAAAGACAAACCCCAACGAAGCATTGTGTGGAATTTCTTTACTGCAAAGCCAAACACTACATGGACGTCCTTTCTCTCTCTCTCTCTCTCTCTCGTTTGTGTTATTTATTTCCCGAGGCGGTTTTGGGGGAATGTGGTGTGCGTTGCCTTATGTGGGCTTGACCAATTTTATCAAAATAAAGGCCTGAAGGGGTTAAAAATCCGCTGGCTGTTTTCTTGGGGCCGAGGGGGAAGGGGAGAGGATTCCTCAGGATGTGGCAGGTGGGGACTGTGAGTGGAGCCTGCTGGAGTTCAGGCCTGGAATCCCCTCAGCTCGACCCCCAAGGATCATCGGTGCCACCCCTGGCTCCGGGACACCCCAGCAGTCCCCTGATCACGGAATAGCTGGGGCTGGGATAGCTGGGAGGGACCTCTGGACATCTCCTGGTCCAAAGCCCCTGCCCAGGCAGGGTCACCTGGAGCAGGGACACCGCCAGGTGGGTCTGGAATGTCTGCAGGAGGGGCTCCAGGGCGTGTGGAGTCACAGAATCATGGAATGGTTTGGTGGGGAGGGACCTTAAAGATCATCCAGTTCTAACCCCCCTGGGTTTATTGGTGGGTACTTTGTCACTGGTTCTGGTCCTGATTCCTGGCCCAGCTGGAAGGTGAATTTAACTGTGGGATTTTTTCCAGGTAAGGTGGAAAACCAAGGTTGGCTTTGAAGTGTTTTGCCTCCAGAACTGAGGGAGAGGGAGGTTCTTGAGGAAAAGGCAAGAAAATTCCCAGCCTGGGCTCTCCCAGCCTTTGGGGGTCTCTCTTACACATCTGTGAGGGAAAACCTCCAGGAGAGGAACAGAAACACACACCTGACCGAGGAGAACCCGAGTATTTATTACCCAACATTCCAGAACAAAGACACTCTCCCTAAAGTGCTTTTTTTTTGTTATTTTTTTTGGCTTTTTAATCATTTTTAACGAGCAACTTTGCACCGAGGCCGCTCCCCGTGCCCTCCTCGCGCTGGTGCCGGCTTTGCTTGGCTGCAGGTCTCCAAAAGGGGAACAACATTCACACCTCGAGGTGGGGAAAACATTCCTGGGGGGGGGAGGGGGGGTTCAGCCACTCCAAACCTGACTCCAGCGATCCCGGCCGCTGCAGGGGGGGCTCCCAGCGGGATCATCCTCCTGCTGGGGTGCGGACAGGCGGGGTCTGCAGCAGCTCAGGCCTCTGGTCACACTCCCTGCCTGCCCCTCTGCCCTTCCCAGAGGGTTCCCGTGGGGTGTGGAGGGGGTGGCTGTCGGGAGGGGGGTGCTGACGGTTCTTCCTGCGGGATTCCAGAGCGGGTTCGGGGCAGCGGGGCCGGCTCCACCCGGGGCTTGATTAGTCCTGCTGGACTCGGAACGTCTCGTAGTCCTCGGGGATGGTGTCTGGGGAGGGGGAGACGAGAGCAGAGGGGGAGATGAGGGGCAGGAACAGCCCAAGGAGCTGCTGGGTGATGACGGCCCAGCCCGGCCGTGGTGGCAGGGGAGGAAGGGACAGCCTGAAGGCAGAGCAGCCCCAGGGTGTGCCCTGGGCTCTCAGAACCCACCGTTGCAGCGGTAGCGCAGGTTGGACCAGATGATGTTCTCCTGGGAGAAGCAGAAGACGCCGAGGCGTCCCCCTCGCATGGTGGTGTCCAGGACGACGCCGGTGTCTGCCACCACCTCAGGGCCCTCGTAGAAACGGGCTCTGGGGGACAACGGGGCTGTGAAGGCGAGACCTCCCCGGGCAAGGTGGCTGCCCCAGCCCTGGGAGCGCCCCAGGCCAGGATGGAGCAGCTGGGACAGTGGGAGGTGTCCCTGCCCACGTCCCTGGATGAACTTTGAGGCCCCTTCCGACCCAACCCGTTCTGGGGTTCCACAGGGCTGATTTTCCTGTGGAATTTGGACACTGTCCCTCCTCTCCTTTTTGTGTCCAAGCCCCCACCCCGAGCCGAGCAGAGGGAATTCAGTGCAGGCCCTCACCTGATGTACCCGACCTGCGGCCGGTGCTGCAGGAACCAGCGATAGGACGTCTTGTCCTTCCAGCCGGAATTCCGAGGGTCTTTCCAGAGCAGTTTGACCTGGTCAGTGGTGTCTCCCGTGTGCCAGAGGGAATTCCGGAGGTATTCACCCGGGCCCGTTTTGGACTTCACCGCCTGGGAGGGGGGAGAGGCCGGGCAGTGCGTGGGAAAAGGAAAAGGCAACAAAAAAAAAAAATCCCCCTTGGAATTGTTTTTTTTTCCCGTGGTTTCTTTACCTTCAGTTGAATTCCAGGTTCGGCTACCGCCCGGAAGGGGTTCGCCTGCCAGTAGGTCTGTTCCATCTGCTTCCACATGACCACGTAGAAGCTGGAGCTGTCCTGGTACCCAAAGATGAAGCCGGCGTAGTCGTCGTCCGTGGCCGTGTTGACGTGGAACGTGCCCTCAAAGTCCACCCCGTTGAAGGCCGTGTAACCTGGTGGGAGAACAACCCCTCTGAACGCCGGGACAAAGAGGCTGATCCATCCTTTTCGTTATGGATTCAGGTCGGGGAGTGGATTTTGCCCGGTGAAATCTCAGGGTTTCTTCACTGCGCAAAGTATTTTGGAGGAGGTGGAGTCGATAAAGTCGCGGCTGAAACTCGTCAGAGCTGCACTGAGGGGTAATTTTCCAACGGGACAAAGAGAATTCCTCACCTACAGCCAGGCCAGGATCGCTGTTCATGGTCTGGACAATCTCCATGCCCTGAGGAAGAGAGGAAAGTTGACTCATTAGTGCAGTTCCAAACGTACCAACCTCCCTCTTGCTCAGAGACCGGCACTCCACGACCCAGGCACCACCAAACCCACAGAGTCTCCTGAGGAAAACTGCACCCCAGCTGCTCCCACCTGTGCTGGGGCACTCCCCTACCTGGTTGAGGACAATCCAGTTGGGGTCAATCTGTGCATCCCCCTCGGGGTCCAGCACCACGGTCTGGAACGCCCTGAAGTCGGTCAGGGTCACCTCGGCGTTCTCGGGGCACACGTCGATCCTGTCGATCACCATGTCCCTGTCGAAGTCGTCCTCGCACAGGTTCCCCACGCCATCACCTGGGGGCACAAGGGCAGGAGCAACCTGAGCTTCCCACGGGTTCTGCTGCCCCCCTGGCACCGGGGTTTGCTCAGCTTTGGTGCTCAGGGCGCTGGGACAGCAGAGAAACCCCGGAGGCTCCTCCTGCTGTGAGCAGAGAAACCCCACAAATCACAGACACTCCTGCAGGACAGCACTTCCCACGTGTGCTCCTTCCAGGCTGTGGAATCTGAGCCTGTCCCTGAGCCGGGGATCTGAATCCCTGTGGATCTCCGGAGCTCAGCAGAGCCTCCAGGAGAATCCATTCCCTCACCATCCGAGTCCTCCTGGCCGGGGTTGGGGACCAGCCTGCAGTTGTCGGGGCCCGGGGGTTTCACGTCTGGGATTCCGTCGTCATCATCATCATCGTCACATTCGTCCCCCAGCCCGTCGTTGTCCGTGTCCACCTGGGAGCTGTTGGGCACTGTGGGGCAGTTATCCCGGGAATCCTGGTGGCCATCCCCGTCACTGGCGGAGAGAAGGGCAGGGAAAGGGTTACCAGGGGCCATCCTTCCACTGGCCACTTTGTTTTCTTGTTGGGGGGGGGATCTGAAGGAAGTTCCACCTCTCTCAACCTCCTAATCTCTTTTACAGGATGAGGCCAAGCCAGGCTGTCCCTTTTTCTCCCTTCCTCCCCCCAGGATTCCTCACAGACTGGTGTGATTTTCACAGCAGGGTCTCACCTGTCCTGGTTGGTGTCACAGACATCTCCCACCAGGTCGTGATCGGTGTCTTTCTGCCAAAGTAAAGGGAGGATCATTTAAATTTCCCACAGATCCAGAGGAGGAACAGGCAAGAGAGAGGGCAGAGGGGGAGCTGAGGAGGCTGGGAAGGTTCCTGCAGGATCTACAAAGCTGCTGAGGCTGAACACAGATGAACAGGGGAAGGAAAGGAGAGCCCAGAGTGCAAAAGTTCCTCTCTGAACTGATGTTTGCTCTCTTTTGTGCTGCAGGGTGGCAGCCAGAACGTGCCAGGGTGTGCCCTGGGTGAGTCCCCAGCGGTGCACACCTTGGCAGGTGACACAGGTGCTGTCTGGGTGAGAAGAATGAACCTGGAAAACAAAACCTGGGATGTTTCCGTACCTGGTCTGGGTTGCTGAGGGTTGGGCAGCTGTCACAGGCATCTCCTACACCGTCCCCATCCCCATCCCTTTGGTCAGGGTTAGGAACCCTCTTGCAGTTGTCCATCGTGTTTCTGATCCCTGGGGGACAGGCAGAGCGGATCCATCAGAAAATCCAGGGCAGGTGAGCTCGTGGGACAAAGCAACAGCTTCAGTGTTTGGGAACATTCTGCTCCCAGGCTGTTTCCAAAGGTTTGTTATTCCCCCAGAGGACACAAAGTGCCTCGAGCCAGGAGCTGCTGGCAGCTTGGAGATTCCCAAATTTCTCCATTTAAACTGCAGTCGTGTCAGGGCTGAGCCTGGCAGAGGCTGGGGGGGAGTTTGTGCCCAACAGGAGGGATAAAAAATCGGGAGCACCACCCTGGGAGAGGCGTTCAAACCCAGCAAGGGCTGAACTGGGAGGGCACTGGTGTGACCGAGGGCTGAGCTGGGGTCCCAGCAGGAGTTAGCTCTGAGGCCTCTGAAGGCCTGGGAGGGTCTGTGTGAAGGGCTCAGCAGAGTTAAGATGACACACAGGTCAGAGCGTGCTGATGACACGCAGGTACCCCCGAAATTCCAGGCAGCGGCAGGACCGGAGGAAAATTCATCTCCGAAGCGGAGAACGCTGGGACTTAAAGAGCATGAATATCAAACACGGGGGGACCTGGGGGCAAATCCACCCAGCCTGTCCTTCCACCAGCCCTCTCCGGGGGCTCCCCCCACGCTTATCCCGCTCCGCCGCCCTCACCGTCCCCGTCCATGTCGTCGTCGCACTC